AAAACCGGGAATAGGAAATAGATTAGGGCCGGCGGCCAGGGAGATGAGAATTAGGGTTTAGAAAAACCTGAGGCTCTGATACCATAAAGGAGACCAGAATTGGAATTCTCTTCGATTTATTTAGGATGAATTCGGGTATATTTATACACAAGGATCCATTTGAATTGATCCTGATTTCTAAGAACTACTCCTACTTTTAAGGAAAGAAATATACAGCTATATACACTAAATAAAATCTCTAGATACTCTAGATCCACAAAAATAGGAAACAACTAATCTTGCCCTATATGGCTAGACGGCTGGTTTGAATTAATACAAAGCTTTCTCAAGCCAAACTTTCTATGTTTCAGGTATGTAATGAGTCCTCCTATAAGAGCATCAGGACATGACAAGGCCCTTCAGGCTGCTCTTTCAACGGGAGTTCTGCAGGTTTCTCATTCGTCATAAGAAAACAATGTTAAAACTTAAAGAATTGGGTTCGTTTATTTATCTTTTTAAAGAAAAGAATTGTGTTTTGGAGATATATGAAATATTTTACCAAAGTGCAGAACACAAGTGAATCTAATCCTAAAACTTTTGATACTTAACAGGAATTCTTAACAATGACCATATTACATGTATCGAAATCTTTTCAGCTTATTCTTATAGTAAATTATGCAATTTTCAGCTTGTAGGAACCGACCACCGTACCTTCAATTCCACACAGAAGGCTCTTGGAATTGATGATTTCCGGAAAATCCCGAATGGTGTAAACGGTAATATAGAAAATAGAGTGTCTCTAAACTCAAAAAGTCACGAGCTTTTTGGGGGCCTAAATTTTAACTAGTTTACTTTATCATCCTTCTTGATATTGAAATGGGATTCAGGTATCGAGGAGAGGATGCACCTTGTCTGGGACACAATGGTGGTAAGCTGCAATAACTTTTTGGCTTATTTCTCCAATTGCTTTAAGTAGAATTATAGTCTTTGTGGTGGTTTGATCTCCTATGTCCTTCAGGAATCTGGCCAAATTTCAGTTATTGACTATGTCCGAGTAACAAGCGTGGAATGGTATATTTGATATTATTCTGTTGATAATGTATTCCCTTACAATATATCTATTCTTAGTCCTTTGAAAGAATAATCAATATCCAATATTATTTTCAGTGCTAGAATCTTCAATATATATCCGAAGAAGGGAGCAATTCTTTGTGGATCCGATGCAGATATAATTATACTTAATCCAAACTCAAGTTTTGAAATAAGTGCAAAGTCCCACCACTCTAGATCTGACACAAATGTATATGAAGGAAGGCGAGGAAAGGTAATTCTTATCGCTCACTATCTAATGACTCAGCCATTACCTTAACATGAAAAGGCTCTTCATTGCACTACGGTTCAATTTTTCGTGGTTGTAAACTTACTAAATGTTTATTTAGAAATATACTGAAGAACATATCCCAGTTTCCAGATTGCATTTCTTCTTGCTAGTCTTACCGTATATGATGGAATCATTATTAAGAGAAGTTTGGACTCATAGTTCATAAGCATTGTTTGTTACTTTAGATTGCAAAAAAAATTATTGATGTGATATGGAAATCGTCAAGATTCTACCACATTCCACAAGACTTGAGTTCTGACAAAATTGAGTGGGGACATGATAATGATTACTTTACATAGATATTAATGCAGAAGCTAGCTGATGATTTAGTAATTGCCATGACACGAGTTGTTAGCATTGTAATGGCAACGTTATTGTCAGGCCGCCGGTGAGGAAGGTCTACACCAGGAGGACCAAGCGTGGTCTGGTGGGAGATTCCGGCCCAAATGGAATGGAAGATAAGGGGCTGGGGGTCTAGACAGGCCCATCTGGGAATATGGGTCTGGCTGAGACAGGGGAAGTTGACGTGGGAAGTTGGTTAGAGAATCTGAGTGGTATTAGGAAGCGAGGGCGAGTGCGGAGTGGTTTGTTTTTGGCCTGACTAGAGTTGGTTGTTAGGAGGTTGTGGGATTCCACGAAAATCCCTCTCTATCCCTTTCGCTCTTATGTAATTTCCATTCCGATTGTAATACTGAGCTCAGACGAGCTCATTCTCTGTTTTCTGGTGACTAGTTCTAATAATAATATGATTCAGTGATTTTCCTGCCTTCATACTCATAACCATTAATTGATAAGGCCGGGATCCTATCAACTTGGTATCAGAGCCGCGATCCATGGCGCAGCACACTCCCACGGCGAGCACAACCGAGCGAGTTTCCAGCCTTGAAGGAGGTCTCGATTCTATCAGGGATACGGTTCAGATGCTGGGAGCTATGGTGGACCACGTACCTCAGCTGCAGGAGGATGTCCATGTTCTGGGAACTCAGTTAGGAGACGTGCAGGGGGCCCTCCATCGCTTGGAAGCATTGTTGGGATGCCACCTTGAGACTCAGGTTCCCGCCCCGCCACGTCGGGAGGTGGGACGCGACAGGGAACCACGGAGGCAGAACACGTCGCCGGACCAGGGCCGTGCAAGGAAGGAGCACCGAGGAAGACGCCTGGAGCTGCCGATCTTCCAAGGGGACGATCCCTATGGGTGGGTGTTCCGGGCGGAGCGTTACTTCGCCATTAACGGTGTTGATGGGGAGGAAAGGGTGAGGGCGGCGTCCGTATGCATGGAGGGAAGGGCCCTCGGGTGGTTCCAGTGGCTGGATTCGCAGCACCCTTCACCGACTGGCGAGATCTGAAGGCGGCGATCCTCCACCGTTTCAGCCGCGCAAAGGATGGTGACCCAACGGAGCGCTTGATGGCTCTGCGACAAGAAGGGACAATAACAGAATTTCGTGACCGTTTTGAGGCTCTGGCTGCATCAATGAGAGGAATACCGGAACCCATTTTCTGGGGAGCTTTCCTCAATGGCCTCCGAGAGGACGTGCGGGCTGAGGTAAAATTATTGCGGCCTATTAACTTGCAGGAAGTTATGGATTTGGCCCAGCAGATTGAAGAGAAACGAGGCAGTCGATCGGTTGAGGAAGGGTAAACTGGGCCGAGGAGGGCGAAATGAAGGCTTGGGAAGGGAAATGGGCCCAAGCGAGCGGCCTAATGGGCAGCCAGGTTATTCTGGAAGCTCCCTTCAGTCCACTCCAGGTAAGGAGCCTAACTCTTCTCCACGGTCTCATTTCTGGTCCACGCCGCAGTCAAGGCTGTCCGAAGGGGGGACTGGGTTCAAACGGATGACGGATGAGGAGTACCAACGCCGACGAGCCAAGGGGCTCTGCTACCGGTGCGACGAGAAGTTCAGCCCTGGCCACCGGTGTAAGAACCGGCAATTACAGGTGCTGTTGGTGTCGGAGGGCGGCGCGGAGGAAGAAGAGAACACGGAAGAGACAGAGGAAGCTCCGGCCGAAGAGTTAGGGGGGATGGATGGACTTTCCCTCAACGCGATGATGGGAATTGCATCTTCCGACACCATGAAGCTGAAAGGGACCCTCGGCGAACGCGAGGTACTGATTTTAATTGACAGCGGGGCCTCGCACAATTTTCTCTCCTTAAGGGCCGTGCAAGAGATGTGAATTCCCTTGTCCACCACGGGCAGTTATGGCATCCAGGTAGGGAACGGGACTTGTTTCCGGCAGCAAGGGTTGTGTAAAGGTGTGGAATTGGAAATCCAGGGCTATCGACTGAGTGGGGATTTCGTACCCTTTGAATTGGGATGTGCCGAGGTGGTATTGGGCGTTTCCTGGCTGCGAACATTGGGGGAAGTCAGGGCTAATTGGCGGGAATTTACCTTGAAATTCAGGGCAGCTGAGGGGTGGATTTGCTTGAAGGGGGATCCCACCCTACGATGGGAACCGGTAAGTTTTCGTGCTCTCACGCGAAAATTCCAGGGTGAGGTGATGGGGGCCTTGCTTGAAATTTGTGTCCTTGAGGGCAAGGAAGGGGGCGGGGAGGCCATGCTGGAACCAGCTATCTGCCAAGGGGTTTTAACCCAGTTTTCCGATGTGTTTGCGACACCGGAAGGACTACCGCCGAGACGCGCTCGAGACCACCAGATTGTCCTCAAGGGCTGAACCACCCAATATTAGGCCTTACCGATACCCCCAAGTGCAAAAAAATGAGATTGAGAAATTGGTGTCAGAAATGCTGGCTTCAGGGATCATTAGGCCAAGCAACAGCCCCTTCTCCAGCCCGGTTTTATTGGTCAAAAAGAAGGATGGAAGCTTGCGTTTCTGCGTCGATTATCGCGCCCTCAACCAACTTACCGTGCTAGACAAATTTCCAATTCCGGTCATAGATGAATTGTTGGACGAGCTGCATGGGGCCGCGGTGTTTTCGAAGTTGGCTCTGCGGGCAGGATACCATCAAATACGAATCAGGGAATTCGACGTGGAGAAGACAGCATTCTGAACACACGAAAGGCACTATGAATTCTTGGTCATGCCGTTCGGTTTGACCAACGCTCCTGCCACGTTTCAGGCACTTATGAACAAGGTATTTCAACCCTATTTGCGCCAATTCGTTTTAGTGTTTTTCGACGATATTTTAATTTATAGTCGAACATGGGAGGAACACGAAGAGCACCTCGCCGTGGTCCTAGGCATTCTGAGGAGGGAGCAGCTTTTTGCAAATCGGAAGAAATGCGTTTTTGGGCAGCCACAGTTGGAGTACTTGGGGCATGTTATCTCAGCTGCAGGGGTGGCCACTGATCCGGCCAAGGTGGAGTCAATTCTATCTTGGCCCACACCCAAGAACGTACGGGGAGTAAGGGGATTCTTAGGACTGGCGGGTTATTACCGGCGTTTCGTTCAGGATTTTGGACGGTTGGCAAAACCCATGACCGATTTGCTTAAAAGGGGAGAATTCTGATGGACCCCAGAGGCGGGGGCTGCCTTCGAAGCACTAAAGCGGGCTATGACTACCCTTCCCGTTCTGGCAATACCGGATTTCTCCAAGCAATTTGTGGTAGAAACAGACGCTTTGGGTTCGGGAATTGGGGCGGTGCTAATGCAAGGGGGGAGGCCCATTGCTTTTTTCAGCAAGGCGCTCTCAGACATTCCTAGGCTCCGGTCCGTCTACGAACGGGAACTCATGGCGGTCGTGTTGGCTGTCCAAAAGTGGCGCCATTACCTCCTTGGCGGGCACTTCGTGGTACACGCGGACCAGCAGAGGCTCCGGTTCCTCATGGACCAGCGGCTGCTACCTCCAGAGCACCTTTGCTGGGTAATTAAGCTCTTCGGGTATGATTTCGAGTTGGAATACAAGCAAGGGGCGTCGAATCGTGTGGCTGACGCACTCTCTAGACGAGGGGCTGACACTGGGGTGGAGTTAGCGGCCATCTCCATTCCGCAGCTAGTAAATTGGGCGGATATTAGGCAGGAACAGCAGCAAGATGGCGACTGCGCTGCCTTGTTACAGAAGCTCACTCAGGGTGAGGAGTTGGCTGCGGGTTGGTCCTTACAGCGGGACTTGCTGTGTTACCATGGCCGAATCGTCCTTCATAGGCAATCGCCATGGATACAACGCATGTTGCACGAATTTCATGACTCGGCCTTAGGGGGTCATTCGGGTTTTCTGCTCACTTATAAACGAGTGGCGCATAACCTGTTCTAGCGGGGGATGAAGGAAGATATACGTCAATATGTTGCTCAATGTTCCATTTGTCAACATTCGAAGTATGAGGCAATGACACCCGCAGGATTGCTCCAACCATTGCCGGTACCGGAGAGGGTGGGAAGACATCTCCATGGACTTCATAAGGGGGTTGCCACGGTCGCAGGGGATTGATACAATTTTGGTGGTCGTGGACCGGTTATCCAAGTACGCACACTTCCTACCACTCTCTCACCCATTCACGGCCAAGAAAGTCGCTGAAGTGTTTGTGCGGGAAATAGTCTGGCTACACGGCATTCCGGCCTCCATCGTCACCAACCGGGACCCCCTCTTTATGAGCTTCTTTTGGCAGGAGCTTTTTCGCATGCAGGGGACCAAGCTGAAACGCAGCTCGGCATATCACCCCGAGTCCGACGGCCAGACCGAGGTTGTGAACAGGTGTTTAGAGGTTTACCTCCGCTGCTTCGCGAGTGATCAGCCTCGCTTGTGGCTCTGCTTCTTACCTTGGGCAGAATTCTGGTTCAACACCAACTATAATGCATCAACGCAGCATTCTCCCTTTCAGGTGTTGTATGGCCGTGGTCCTCCAACTGTTCACCGCTTCTAAGATTCTCCTTCGGCCATGGAAGATGTCAACCTCCAGCTGCGACAAAGGAACGAGTTCCTCGATATGCTCAGGGGCAACCTCGTGCTTGCACAGCAGCGCATGAAGAAGTTCGCAGATGTTCACCGTCGGGAACTTTCCTTTTTGGCCGATGACCTTGTCCTGCTCAAAATCCGCCCCTATCGCCTTAAGTCATTAGCCCGTCGACCCAATGAAAAGTTGGCTCCTCGATTTTATGGGCCATTTGAAGTTTTGGAGAAGTGGCCTATCGTCTCAAGCTACCGGTAGACGCGAGGATCCACTCGGTCTTCCATGTCTCTCAGCTGAAGCCCTTCAAGGGGGATGCATTCCAGCACCAGCCACTTCCCCTACAGCTCTCGGATGAGTTAGAGTTGCAGGTCGAGCCTTCCGAGGTCTTCGCGGCAGGTGGACTTTGGTGGGAGGGAAACAAGTCACGGAAGTGCTGGTTCAGTGGAAGGACATGCCGGACTGGGAGGCCACCTGGGAGCTTCTAGAGGTGTTTCAGGCCCAATTTCCTCATTACAACCTTGGGGACAAGGTTGTCTTCGAAGGGGGGAGTAGTGACAGGCCTCTGGTGAGGAAGGTCTACACCAGGAGGACCAAGGGTGGTTTGGTGGGAGATTCCGGCCCAAATGGAATGGAAGATAAGGGGCTGGGGGTCCAGACAGGCCCATCTGGGAATATGGGTCTGGCTGAGGCAGGGGAAGTTGACGTGGGAAGTTAGTTAGAGAATCTGAGTGGTATTAGGAAGCGAGGGCGAGTGCGGAGTGGTTTGTTTTTGGCCTGACTAGAGTTGGTTGTTAGGAGGTTGTGGGATTCCTCGAAAATCCCTCTCTATCCCTTTCGTTCTTCTGTAATTTCCATTCCGATTGTAATACCGAGCTCAGACGAGCTCATTGTTTGTTTTCTGGTGACTAGTTCTAATAATAATACGATTCAGTGATTTTCCTTCCTTCATACTCATAACCATTAATTGTTAAGGTCGGGATCCTATCAGTTATAGAGCATATTTGTAACCCACCGTGGAAAACATGCATGGGGAATAACTTGAGACAGAATATTTGACATAATAAGGAAAACAATAAGTAGAATGGTTTTTACAGGAAGTTTTTGTTAGTTAAAACATTCGTTTATGTCAGGTAATAAAAAGAAAAAAGAAAAAGGAGCATTGTTCATGTATCTTCACATCTGTGATTCACATACCAAATCATGTGAAATTGATGACGCGCATATTACCAAAGACATAACGGTGGAATTCAAATTTATGCATTGTCAATATACACTTTCGCAACTCATTTTGATGCATTTTTACTCTGACCTAGACCTAGCGTTCTTAGCTTTCCGCTTAACAAGTTCTTTAATGACTACTAACACATCTATATTTACCTGTACTTTTAATATTTAAAATCTTTTTGTACGTGTATCCTGCTGTCTGCTTATTGTTCCTGGCATTCTTGGTGTTTAAGTTCACGATCTGTTTTTCAGGGAAAGGTTGAGGTGACAATTGCTGGTGGAAGAATTGTTTGGCAAAATGATGAATTGAAGGTTAATCCAGGTTCTGGAAAGTACATAGAGCTGCCACCTTTTAATTATCTTTTCAATGGAATTGACAAGGCAGATGCTAACTACTTATCTTCTCTACGAGCTCCGGTTAAGCGTTCTATATCAATAAACTAAAAATGGCATGTTTTATTGTAATATTTTCTTTCTAATTATCATCTTAAGTTAGAGTGATTTCATTACATTAGTAAAGAAAGAATTTGATCGAACTTGAATTGTTGGAATGACTGTCATTAGTTTCCAAGATGTGAATAATTAGGTTGCACAACCTCCTGTGTACATTACTGTGTGATGTTTATATGAATACGTGTTAATATCATTTAGTCAGATTCCTGCCATGGCCGTGTGATTGAGCAATGACATACAAATACATACATTTGTGTTTTTGTGTGTGTGTGTCTGTAGAAGTACAAATTGAAATCCAAATTTAGTTACATAATACATAATATGCATATTGCACACTTAGAAGTTACAGAAACTTCTGATTAGGTCTGTTTAGAGAAACCTCTCGTCTATATAATTTACAGGCCATTAATAGGGGACAAATGATTGGAAGCTTGACAGGTAGTTAGTTTGGATACTAAGCAATTCAAGGTCTAATACAGCAGTTAATGTAGGTCAGAATCTTCTTTTTCCTCTGCATGGAAATTAGTGTGAGCATATCAGAACGAAAGAATGATGTGACAGACTTGAGCAAAATTATTTTCTCTTTCATTTTCCCTGTTCTGTTTTCAGAAAGGTAATATACTCATTGGTGTATTATGATCAATTTCGTGGGGGGACGCGATGTTCTACCATGTTTGGTCCATGTGCGTTGACCAAGGGGATATGGACCAAAACAGGTGAACATATATGGTGTCAACTCAAGCGACATAAAGGACTACCTATTGAATGATGGTGTGCAATGCAACTTAAAGTATGATGAACACATGAGTTAGAGTTTTGGTGAAATGAAGTCCTACCATGACAGAATCATCTTGGTGAGGAGGTCCACGAGGAGCAATGAGCTCCCTTTCGTTTCCGAGGCTGGAGCGCTTGAACTCACTCAAGTCAGTCTTTTTCTGCTTCCTATTGGCCCGAGCTCGGGAAAACACCATGGAGTAGTCGGTGCGTCCCGGGCTCTTGTGTTCCCACCCTCCAAATTGAGGAACAGACATCCAACCATTTTTCTGTAAATTTTGAAAAAAGGATATATAGTCAGTATCTAACATCTTGAATCACATTAAGTCAATCACAATTTGCAATGAGCATTTTATCTACGGATGTACATGATCTACTTTTATGGGAAAAAGGAGTTGAATTGATATCTTGACCTTGTATTGGTTAATATCCCCTTGGTCAACGCACATTGACCAATACAAGCTCAAGTGTTCTATTTGCCTCGCAATTTTTTAAGCCAATTACATCTTGCAATAAACATTGATCTATGGATGCATATGATGTAGTCTTAGGGAAAGGACATAGTTGATATCTTGACATTGTATTGGTTAATAATAATATCCCCTTGGTCAACGCACTTTGACCAATACAAGCTCAAGTGTTTTCTTGCCCCCACATTATTATTTTTTTTAAATTAATTTCCCATGTCTTAGAATAGCTTTTCAAAAGAGTTAATTGGATATATGAAAAGGTGGTCTTTGGAAAGGATTTGAGTTGATATCTTGAGCTTGTATTGGTTAATATCCCCTTGGTCAACGCACATTGACCAATACAAGCTCAAATGTTTTCTTGCCCCACTTTTAAAAAAAAAAAAAAAATTTATCGTGTTTTAGAGTAGATTTTCAAATGATTTAACTGGTTCAGATATTGCGCCAACTTACAAGTTGTACTGAGGAGGAAATCAAATCGGCACATGGCTATAGCAACATGTTAACATTAGTAATCATAAGAAGATAACGAGAGAAAACAAGGCAAAACCTTTAAGTGACAAATATATAAAGCTAACATAAATTAAGAAACTTTATAGTTATTTTGATGCATATAAATTAGTTTTTCTAATATGTGTCGGTGAATTTTCCTGAAAATATGAAAATTAAAATTAAATTAATGATCAACGTGATATAGATATGATATCTAATTAATAAACCAGGTTTGAAGAGTTCTCTTAATGGAACAAAAAATTTATATGACAATGTGGTATGAGAGCATTGCACCAAAGAAAAAGTAGATTAATCAAGAATGGTTTGCATATATTCTCATAATGTTAGCACTATTAACCTTTATCTCATCACATCATAAAAAGGATATTCATAGAGCAATGTTAGGGGCAATACGAGTCCCAGTTTAGCACTCACAAAGACATAAATCCAAATTAATAGTTGGAATATGAGATGATTAATAAAAATACAAAATAGTCTCTTTTGGTAATAGCCTAATTGGTCCCCTACAGGAAGCAAAGCAAATTCTGCAGCCTAACAAAAGTGAACCCTATAATTCATGAAAAAAAAAAAAAAAAATGCTTAGAGACACCGTTGAGGTTAAACACCATCATTGATAGAAGATGGATCTCATATGAGGGTCCCATATTGCGAGACTCACCTTCAATTAATAGCTGGTGTTCAATACCGTCGGTGCCTTATAAAATTGTTCTAATTCATGCAACTACACAAAATAATCCTACAACATCTTATCTATCCGGTAAAAAGATTTCCTATCACTTTGCCTTCCATAAGAAAGAAATCCCATAAACAAGACATCAAAAACTCATTAGGAGTTAGTATGCGTACCTCGTTCCGGTTAGCCATGGCAACTCTTACGAAAAGAGGGTGGGATTATTATTAACACAGAAAAGGTTTGAAATGCTTTTAGAAATTACACCAACTTTACTAAATAAGTAAATATCACTTCCACTATTTTAAGTCTTTTATAACTGCTATCCTCCATGGCAACATTTTACCCAAGAGTGAAACAAAAGTTGTTTCCTTTAAAAATTGCCTAATTTTTAAATGGTGGTTAAATATAACCAATGTTTAAACCATTTTTAGTTAAGATCTCTTGGCTAAGTACTAAGAACAGATTGTCGTCCGAGTCAGACAAAACAAGGAAGATTATGCTATAATCTAATAAGGGAGAGATCGTTTGGCCACAAAATGTGCCCAATCAATCAAGAGATTTTTTTCTTGTTTGAAGAATCTAAGGAGAATAAATGTTATCTAAATTTGGATTGTGAATTTATCAGCTATCAAGATGTCTTGGGCTAAAAACGTGTCTTAAAGTTATTTTCATACAAATAGATAGTGATCGTGCATGGAACTTTTGGTTCAAAAACTACGTTTATCTATTGTTACATATATGTATATGTATTACATATATATAAATGAATAAATTTTTAATAATTACATTTCCACCCCTATACATATCAATATGTATATATATGTATATGTATAGATTGTCATAAGGCGATTACAACATTAATTCTCCAATTTTCTCCAAATAAAGCAAGACGCAAAATTTTCTTTGAATTATTGTCATCGTAAAAGTTTTATAATGATTAGGGGTGTATATTTTTGCATCCCAAAAATTTCTAAATGTCACCAATGATTAATACTTTCTTAATAAAGATTTGAAAATCTATCCTTTCATAGACATACAAACACACTCAAACTTTTCGTTAATTGGGCATGTTTGATACGAACATTTTAAATTTTGGCAATTTGAACTAATTGTCGTCTCCATGTATCTCAATTGGACTGCATTATTAAGAATTCTCGGAGGCACTGTCTTTTTAATACTATTAAATAAGTACCTTGGAGTTTTAAAAACCATGGTGTGAATATTTGAGGGTCTTTTTTGAAACATAAAATGTCCATTCCGCCCTTTTAATTATTGTGCAAGTATATTCTCTATTTTGGACCTCATAAAAAATATATCATAGTAGAAAAACTATTGTAGAAAAAAAAATCAATGGTTGTAACTTGAGATTTTATTTTGTTTTTTCTTTTTGCCTTTCCACCTGTTTTTACATTCAAGGATATTTTAGTCTTTTGGATAGTTAAAATTGAGCATTAGCTAATGAAATAGGGTGTGCGTTCGTTATTGCTTTTCTATTATTTTTGAAAATGTTTTTGTACATTTTTTGAGGTACGAGAAAATGTTTTGTAAACTGTGTTTGATTAAAGAATTAGAGAATGATTGAAAATTATTTTTCTTTTTTATTTTCAGGTACTTATCAACAATATTATTTCCATAAAAAGGTATTATACTAAATAATTAATAATTGCTAATTATATAAATAGATAATAATTACTCAATTTTTAATTAAATATTAATTTCTTATTATTAAATTTGTAATTTGGCAATAAAAATAAACAGTAAGTATTAAATAGCAACTAATTCTTATTTGTAATTATTAGTACATTACTAACATAATTATATACTGATTATTAATTATTATTTTTAGTTATTTAGCATATTAATTTATTATATATAATATTTAATTACAAATATACCCGTTAATAATATATCTACTACTAAATTACTAGTTTATTAATTTTTATTTGTTAAGTGATTATCAATTATTAATTATTTAATATATTAATTTAAGATTAATAATTAGGTGTACTCAAAATAAAATTTCATAAATATAATTAAATATAATTTCACTTTTTTATCATACTTATAATAATTTAAAAAAAAAAACTAATCAAACACAATTCTTAAAAGTGGTTTTATAATTCTCAAAACAATCTTAAATTTCAGTTTTTCATTTATTGAGAAAGTACATTATTAATTTAAACATATATTCATGATAATATTTAAGATTGTTTTCAAAACGAAACCTTTTTGAAAACGCTACCATACGAGCCTGTAAATAAAATGAAAAATTGTAATAAATAGCGAATTTTTTATAATTAAATTAAGTAAATAATAAATTTTAAAACTATTTAAAATAAATACCAATTTACGTTGTAAATGAATCATTTACCGTATATATGATTCATTTACAATTGGTAAAAAATGACTTACATAGTAAAACAAAATCTTAAAACTCTTTAATTACATGGAAAAAATCCTTTTTACAAATCGTAAAAAGAAAATTTAGGTGAAAAAATTGTTTATACTAACCGTAAATGAACCATTACGCGCATAAATTGTTCTTTATTTTAAATACTTTTAAAATCTGATATTTGCTTAATTTAATTTTAAAAATTTGTTATTTACTACATTCTCTCAAATTTTATGTGCATTTAGATTATCATGGATATATATTTAATAAGATCTAAAACTAATAGTATACTTTCTCAATAAATAAAAAATTGAAATTTTTATGGGATAAAACACTGTAATATTAAGATATGAATTAAGGTTCAAATTGGGAACTAAACATAGCAA